GGGGGGGGGGTGGTCGGAAGAGATAGAAGCACTGATGCGATGGAGTAAAGGAAGCGAGTGCATGGCCCAGCTTCTGGGAACGGGTCGCTGATTTCCTCTTTCCAGTGGACGAGGAGCTTGAGGAGAGGATTACCAACGAGAACTACAAGATATGGAAGAAGAACGTGCCCTTCCTGTACGATGTGATGATTACGCACGCCCTGGAATGGCCAAGTCTTACTGTTCAATGGCTCCCCGACACCATAGTGTATGCTATCAGGCCATGTCCGATGAAGAATTCACCATGGTTCGCAGAAATACAGCGAAGGAGCAGAAAGAAGGGAGATTAATCCTCGGGACGCATACCTCAGAATCCGACAACAACTACTTGATGATAGCGAAGGTCAGGCTCTTCGCAGCGCTGCAACGCGCCTTGTAATGTCGACCCAGGTCACTTGCCCGATGGGTGAAGACGACCCAGAGTTAAGAAAGTACAACGAAGAGACGGGAGGTAACATGGGTTGTGGCTGATAGTGCGACATGCCAACTGACTGCTGGCCCGCGACAGAGGCTGGAGGGTATGGACAGAACCAGGCAAAGATAGAGGTTTCACAGAGGATAAATCATGATGGGGAGATAAATCGGTAAATTCCCCGCGCGCTCATAGCGCTAGCGCATTCTGACCCTTGCGGACAGCGCAAGGTATATGCCACAGAACCCCTGTCTGATAGCGTGCAAGGGACCGAAACCTGATGTCTTGGTGTTCGACTACACGAAGCATCCTTCACAACCCAGTCACGACGGCACAGTGAAAGCAGATCTTCGGCTTGGAGGGCATGACAGTGAAGGGTAAGTTGATGTCTGACAGGAGGGACGCCGATTCTTGATTCATCTTGCGACGGCAGGTACGGGTTGTCATGGAATCCTTCGCGACCGGGCTTGCTCCTGAGTGGGTCCAACGATTGTAATGTTTGTATTTGGGACGTCTCGGCAAAGTGCACAGACAAGAATTCTGTTTTGCCTCTGTCGAGATCAAAAGCGCATCACGGAGCCGTTGAGGTAACTCTCGATTTCTAAGGTGGGGGTGGGAGCCGATGCGTTGATTGCAAGGATGTTGCCTGGAGCGTCTTCGAGCCCAAAGTCTTCGCAACAGTAGGAGACGACAAGATGCTGCAAATGTGTGTTGGGATGCTCCGTGCGACTTCATAAGCTGATGAGTTTGTCCTGCAGCTGGGATGACTCCGTTATGGACAAACCTGTACAAAGAATCAAGGCGCACGAGCATGAAGTCAACTGCCTCTCGTTCAACCCCCTTGTACCTCATCTTCTCTTGACTGGCTCGGCGGATAAGGTGGATTCCTCTGCGCTCTCGACTCTTGTATCAAGTCTTTCTCCTGACTTTGAGATGAAGACTGTCGGAGTGTGGGATATACGAAATCTCTCTAAGGTGCTGTATTCCTTTCAACACCATCAGGATTCGGTTATGCAGGTACAACCAACAAGTTCTGTTAGGAGTGTTTGACGTTGGTCAGGTGCAATGGTCCCCTAAGAGACCGGAAATCCTTGCTTCTGCAAGGTGATGGAAGGATAAGAGGAAAGTTAGAGATATTTGGGAATGACGTTGAGTCCAGCCAAGACAAGAGGATATGCGTATGGGACATGGCGAGAGTTGGGCAGTTTCAAACCAAGGAGTGTGCAGAGGATGGCCCTGCCGAGTTGCTGGTGAGAAAGATCGTCATATTTGCATTGTCGATGATCGCGGATTTTTGTCTACAGTTTATCCATGCAGGACATACAGGACGTGTGTCTGACCTATGCTGGGATCCCAACAACGCCTGGACGATTGCTTCCGTTGCCGAGGACAACATCCTACACATATGGGAGATGGTAGGAAAATATTGCTGATGACTGTAGGGACTGAGCGTTGCGAGCAGGAGGAACAGATTTACACGCAGGCAAAAGTCGAAATGGAACCCTAGATATCGATATGGGCCGATAAACTGCATTACGATTCTTCTTGTAACTCTCGCAGGTGTCGGTGGGGTCTGTTCCTCTCCCCCTGACACACCGTCTCAACACTTCAAAGGGACTCGACAGGCATCGAGCAATGGGAAGGAACAACATACAATCAGACGAAAGCACCACACTGATTCACAGCAGAACGGATGGGAGAACGAGAAGCGACAGTGTGTTTACAAATTAGATTTCTTTGCTTCCGGTCTACCGGCCTGAAGATTAAGTGCTGCCAGCCCTACTACTCAGAAAACCACCTTTGCTCTTGCCTGCGCCATCTCCCGCTGGGCCTCTACTACATCGACGTCGCAGTTTGCCTCGTACACAGACTCGAAGCTCATCGTGTTCTGGTCGAGCTTCACCTTCCAGGCCTTCCCGCCATCGACGTCTAGCCTGCTCCTTAGGACGATCTTTTCCTTGCCGGGGATGAACACGTCGGCCCGCACTTCGCCATCCTCCATGACGATGCCTTCCTCCGAGTCGTCCACGACATTGTAAAGGATGCAGTTCTTGCCAACGATCTTCTTGGCGACGACGTTGACCAGGATTGAGTCGCTGACCTTGACGTCGACTGCGGTCACCCGCGAGCACACACTCGACTCGATCTTCCCGCTCTTGATGTCCGATGCGAGGATGACGGAGGAGGCGTCAGCGTAGCTCTCTGCTCCCGAGCTCTCCTGGAGGCGATTGTGGATCTGAAGAAACTCCCGCAAGGCCTTGGCCTCCTCAGAGTCCTTGGTCACGAGCAGACTATTCTTCTGGAACAGTTTCAGCTGCCCATAGTCCCACCAGTAGCAGTTATTGCCCACGTTGATGCATCCAAGGATGGCCGAGCAGTTGTTTTGCTGCATGAAACGCTCCTTGAAGCTCTTCATCCTCTTGTAGTGGCCCCGTGCTGTCGCGTCAGTCTCGCCCTTCTCCATCATAACGGAGACGTAAGTATCTTCCTCCAGCGTCAGGGGCATCCAGAAGTGAGGGTCCGAGTCGAACTTCGCTTGCTTTCCCTTGAGCTCTTGCTCAAACTCCTTCATCAGCTCGAACAGCAAGCTCGCGCTCACGCTGAAGGAGCCAAGGCTGGGACCCACCTGCTTGATCTCTCCGAACTTGGCGAGGAGCTCGTTGGCGGTCTTGTACGAGACTTTCTCGACCTGCGCAGCATCGTCGTTGGCGTTGACTGCGATCAGTCCATACTTGTCCAGACCCTTCTGAGTCCATTCCTCCTCTGAGGGCATGGGGCCCAGCGACGCCAGGATGTCGGCATGGTGAGATCCGCTTGGGAGGATGCCGGCCGAGGGTACGAAGACCTGGTCTCCCCAGAAGACAGAACACCTTCCCTTCCTGACAGGAGCGTAAGCGTTGGTCTGACGGATGACAGCCTCGAGGATGGTGAGCTCCTTGAAGCCATCCTCTCCTGGGAGCAGCGAAGGAAGCTTCACTCCTGGCTTGTTGTTGTTCTCGCTACCTGGCAGAGGGGCCAGCCTGGTGCCCTTCCCAGCTGTGTGGAAGATGGCTGCAGCCCAGCCTGACTTAAGCTTGTCGTCAAGATCAACACCAAAGAGAGTCTTCGCCTTGTCGCGTGCCTTGCTGTACGCATACAGCGATCCCAAGCCGTTGCCTGCTCCCGAGCTTGCCCAATCCTCGTGCACAGCGACAAAGAGCGAGGAAGAGCTAGGGGCAGGGGCAGAGGAAGGAGGAGGAAAGAGGGAGGAGGGAGGAAGGAAGGCAGAGGAGGAGGAGGAGGAGAGGCGCGTCTGCCATAGCTCCTCCTGCGTCGCCGTCGCCGCGCATATGATCACGACGTCGAACACCATGGCGGGAAGATAAAAGGCAGAGTTAGGTGGGGTGATACTTGGGACATAGGGTGGTGACGTGGAGCGCATAGGGGTAGGGGTGCAGACCTCAGAAAAAGGTGGGTGAGGAAAGGGATATAGGGGGGTGGGGTTGTTCTAAAGGACAGATCGAACCGTATCAGGTGGGGGTAGGGTGAGGCAACAGATCCCACAACGTCGATTTTCAACATGGGGTGGGGGTAGAGAGAGGATAAAGTACCCCTCGATTACTGAGTCAGAATGCTATTCAGAAGGGGGTGGGGGTGATGTCCTGCAGGGGATCATCCTGCAAAAATCTTTACTCAAAGTTAAATCCTGGATTTTGTTCTGCAATCTAGGTGGGATCAGCATGTGCGGTCACCGTCACTCAGTGACTCAGGGCCGGCGGACCCGCCGGGCCCGGCCCGCCCGGCAGCCTGCCAGGCCGCACAGACCCACCGGGTCCCTGAAAGTTTCGACCGTGTTTGCCGTTCGGAGGCTTCCGAAGCCTGAGCCTTAAACGGTTCAACCGTGACCTACTAAGTCTGGGTGACTCAGCCTGGCATCGGAACTCTTAGTACTCAAAGAACGGAACCGTACGGCCCAGTGGTGGTCGCCGTCACCGGAGTTCGGGTTCAAGTTCCTCGGGCCCCGAACTCCGGGAGTCCCGGACCGATCATGGCGAGCAACATCGCCCCGCGGGTTCTACTATATTACTAGGCTCGCCTCAGGATTTGAAATAGTGAGAGCAAGAAGACAGCAAGGCAGGAGAGGAGGCAGCAGCGAGACTGAGAGGAGGCCCTATACCCGTGCCAGGAGATGGAGGCGGAGATGGAGGCGGAGATGAAGAAGCTGCGGGTGAAGGGAAGCATGACCTTCGGGGAAGTGATGGCGCAGGTGAGCGGCTGCCATGGCGGAGAGTGAAGAGCAGGGAGGGAGGTTGTGATAGGAGAGGAACATTTGTATACGATAGTAGTCAAGGGGATGCTTGTTCGGCGATCTTGAGTCAGGAAGCTGTGGGTTGGAACTAGGAAGGAGAGCAAGAGCAGAGGATCGCTGAGACTTCCAACAACGATTGACCATACCTGGTGACAGGGAGAGTTCGGCGTTATCATCAAGGGGTTTTACATGGGGAGGCCGGTGGCGATCAAGCAGATTCTGCTGCATGTGAGGGAGGGGAGTGGTTCTTAGAGCAGAGAGGTGAAGGTGCAAGCAGGAGAAGTCGAGACATACGTTGCAGATGCTGCACGACGAGGTGAAGATCCTCAGCAAAGTGAAGCATGCCAACATCGTAGAGTTCCTGGGTGAGTGAATGCCTCTTGCTTGTCTCAACATGGTTTCTTGATTCCTGTCTATCTCAAATTGATTGCTTTTCGATTCATCTGAACCTGATTTCTTGATAACAATACCAACTAGATTCACTTCATGCCATGCTTGTCTTACTTCTTACAGGTGTCCTCTCGGATTTCCCCATGAAGAGCAATGGGAGGTCAGATAACTGTCGCCCATCTAACTTGCTCCTTACCCATGACTCCCTTCATCATCCTGCAGGTTCTTCCCATACGCACTCATGTTCGAACTCTGCGATGAATCGCTGTGGGTCCGGCTGCATCGCAAGAGACACAGATATGACATGAGAGAGAAGCTGAGGTGCTCCTCGCCCTCCTTCATGGCGGCGGCTGGTCTGAACTCGCATGCAGAATCATCTCTGAGATATCAGCTGCTGTTAGCCATCTCCACAAGAAGCACATCGTGCATCAAGATCTAAGCAGCTCCAACGTCCTCCTGTCCTTCTCCGGCACAGTCAAACTTTCAGACTTCGGGTTTGCTCGTGAATGTAAGAACGGTTCTCACGAGAACGAGTACATTGTGGGGTCGCCGTCCTACATGAGCCCGGAGCAGGTTAGTCGCTCACCTTTCGCACAGCTGCGAGGTTGACGGTGCTGCTGTGAAGCTGCTGGGGAAGCCCGTGACCACCAAGTCCGACGTCTGGGCGCTGGGATGCTTAACGTGGGAGGTCGTGTCAGGAAAGTTCCCGTGGAACGAGAGGAACGTGAACGATCGGAGAGGTAAAGGAGGGGAACCTTTGTTTCGCTCCCCCTAAGCACATGGACCAGGCCTAGCTCAGCACATCGCGCTGTCAGGGGGCGGCTGCCTCCCCTCCAGTTGGATCCATCGTTTGTAGAGGAGGAAGAAGAATTGAATTTGTTGTTGAGGTAGCTCCTCCTGCTCCTGCTCCTGCTCCTGCTCCTGCTCCTCCTCTTTCTGTCTCTTCTCCCCTCCTGCCTCTCGTCCTCGACCTTTCCCTGCTCCTCCTCTGATGCTTCCAACAGAGACAGCTTCCGTGATGACCCAGGGCTGCGTTTGTCTTCATCGCAATTCCACAAGAGGGTCAAAGGTATGCCTGCAGAGACAAGAAGGTTTTCATCGGAGCTGACAGATAACTGTTCTTATCAGCGATCTGCGAGCATGCGAGGAAGAGGGAAAAGGATGTTGCTGTCGAAAAGAAGATGGATGTAGACACTTTGAGGACCTGGCTGCACTCTTTCTATGAGACGGTTTGTTCAGACGTCGAGCAAGAATGAAACTGATGCATGTGATTGTAGTACAACAAGGAGAAGCTCGAGGACGTCCCATACATTGCAAAGTTCCACCAAGGTGAGTTCCAGATGACTGGTCACTGTTTGGACAAATGTGAAAGAATCATTTGAAATTGTCACAGACAAAATTGAAGAGCTAAACAAGAAACTGCGATTGCAATACTCAACAGACCTGTTTGAATTCATCAAAGCCCGAGAGAGGAGGTGGTGGTTGAGGTGGTGGTGGTGGTGGTGGTGGTTGAGGAAGAGGAGGTGGTGGTGGTTGAGGAGGAGGAGGTGGTGGTGGTTGAGGAGGAGGAGGAGGAGGAGGCGGTGGAGGAGGAGGAGGAGGAAGAGGTGGTAAAGGCAGTGGTGGAGGAGGAGGAGGTGGAGGAGAACGTGGTGGTGGAGGAGGAGGTGGTGCAGGAGGGGGAGGGGGAGGAGGAGGGTGTGCATGTCTTATCGTTGTTCTGATGACTTACCCGACAACAAATGCATCTCCACTTCGACTGTCAGGGTTCTGAATGACTATCATGTTGAGGCTTGAGTCTAGCGGGGAAAGTGAGATTCAATGCAGAGACAAAGTACGGACAAGCTTCACCAAGAGGAACTGTTGTTGGAGTGATGTGGTTGCAAAGGGCGCATTTCACAGATTCAGCTGTGCGAGGATACCTGTAGATATTTCATCAGCATCTCAATCATCATCATCTCAATCATCATCATCATCATCATCTGCGACATCTCCATCTTAATCATGATCGTGATCATCATCATTACCATCTCCATCATCATCATCATCATCATCATCATCACCACCACCACCACCACCACCACCACCACCACCACCACCATCTAAATCACAACCATCACCATCACCATCATCATCATTCATCAACGTTATCTCCATCATCGATCATCTCACATCAATTGCGTCTTGCATCCTCCGCATGAAATGTGAGCCATGTAGCCTGCATCGCCAGAGGAGCTCGCCATGGATCCTACACAGATTATGAGCAAGGGAGGCAGGAGACAGGTCATGGTCAGAACCGAACTGAGTGACTGCCCCGCACATGGCGCACTCTACCGATGGAGAGCCAGGAGGATACATCAGCGTCACCCCACACCCTGAGCACCTTCCTTGCGATGTCACTGCTCCACACCTCGCGCATTCCACTGCGCTGGATCCTGTCATGCCCGGTCAGCCAACTCCGACGTGTAGAAGAAGGCGGCTACCTGACGGGAACATAAGGAGGACGGAACAACCGCTGCAGTGTCCCTGATAGAGTCTGCTGGGTCCTTGAGACTCCATTGCCAATGATGTCGCAGATGGTGTGCTACTCTCAACTCTCAACCTGATGTTTGGGTATGAGCAGCTATCGTCAAAACGATTGGGAACGAAAAAAACATCTCCAGTCAGTCACTCCATTCCAATCCTCTTTCTCACGGACATGTCGAAAGTACATCATCTTCCCCTTCCATCTCACCATCCCCCTCCCCTCCCCATCCCCTCATCTCGACATAACTCCTCACATCTTCCTGCCTCTCCCTTCACCTGCTCAGCTACACATTTCACAATCGTCGATTTGATCTGTTTTGACCCCATCGCAACCTTACCTTCTCTCCTCCTACTCCTCATTTCTTCCCATCTATGTGTCATCCATACCAATCTTTCCATCATCTCATCTCCCACCTCTCTTCCCTCTCTCCCTCCCTCCCCTCTCCTCCTCCTCCTCCTCCATCCCTGCCATACTGGCTTTCTTTTGCCCCACCCCTCCCCTTTGATGTACCCCCTTATAAAGACCACAAAGTACCCCTCCTTTTATACCGTATCATCCCCCTCATTCTTACCTCGCCTCGGTCTGGATCGCATGCACACGATGCAGCAGCAGCGTCGCCTCCTCCGGTCGATGGCGGCGGCGTCAGGCGCCTCCTCTCGCATCACCCTCCGCTCCATGGCGACTCTCTCCCTCCCTCAGCCCCCGTGCTCTCCCCTCCCCCGCTCCTCTCCCTCCTTCCCGCTGCCTCGTGCCCGTTCGTCGTTGTGGAGCAAGCAGGGGAGGTGTATGATCATCCTCCCAGAAAAGAAGAAGAGAGGAGGAGGAGCGTATGTGGAGGCTCCCTACGAGATCGCTGAACCTACCAAGGAGTCCGAGAAGTTCGCTCAGAAGTGTGGAGAGAAGAAGGTCAAGAAGCTGAGCCAGCCAGGCAGCAACTTCGCGTTCTTGAACAGACCTAAGGCGAACCATGCGCTGGACTTGAGCATGATCCGCGAACTGTGAGGAACCTTGATAGCAAGTTTTCAGTTCCTCACTGTTTGTTCCGTCTTCTTTTGTCTCCTCCCCTCCTCCTCCTTTCTCCATTCACCTTCCCGCTCGCCCCTCTCCCCCTTGCTATCACAGGAAGAAAATCTACCTCGAGACGAAGCTCAGCCCGACCATCGATCTCGTCATGGTCACTGGAGGCAACGAGACAGCCTTCTGTGCGGGAGGTGAGTGAGGAGGAGAGGAGAACGTCGTTTGTTCTGACCCACGAGCAGGAGACGTCAAAGCTCTAGCGCAGCAGGGTATTCAGCCTATGGGGAACAAGGCCCCGCAGATGAAGTTCTTTAAGTAGGAGGAGGAGGAGGGGAGGGAGGGAGGAGGGGGGGGGGAGGAGGGAGGAGAATTCAGTTGCTGATCTGATGGGCAGAGAGGAGTACAAGTTGAATTACCTGATTGCAAACATGGCACCCAAGATCTCAGTCGCCTACGTCGATGGCTGGGTAAGTTGCCCAAATGAAAAGTTTCGAAAGTTGATGATGATCATCAAACTTTTCCTTCTGCTCTCCACTTGTTCACATTATTCCTCCGTCCCCGCGTTCTCTACCTCTTTCCTTCTCCTCTCCTGATTCTTCTATTCTCCTCCTCTCTTTCTTATCTCTCTTTCTACCCGATCTCCTCGGCCTCTTTCTCCCTTGTCCTCTTACCGGCTGTCTGCAGTGCATGGGCGGAGGAGTGGGCATCTCCATTCACAATCAGTACCGTTTGTGCGGGGAAGATGTTATCTGGGCAATGCCGGAGACAGGTGAGGAGGAGGAGGAGGAGGAGGAGGAGGAGGAAGAGAGGATGAGGCAGGAAGGAAGGAGATGAGTTTTAGGAAGGAGGATACGAAAGGAGGGGAGGAGAGGGAGAGCAGGAGGAGATAAGGACGAGAGAAGCAGAAACAGGAAGAGGACTTGGAGGGAGAGGTTGAAGTGGAGCTTTCCGAGAGGGAGAGCAGGAGCAGGAGCAGGAGGAGTGGGGATGGGGGCTGACAATTGAACAGCGCTTGGATTCTTTCCTGATGTCGGAGGGTCATGGTTCCTCCGAGGTTGAAGCAAAATGTAAAGTATGAGCACCTGCTTGATAGACCGTCT